GAACTGAAAGCATTTTTACACAGAGCCTTGCAGGCATCTGGAACAAGCTGTTCAGCCATGTTGTCAAAGCTAAGTCTGGCTACTCTCAAGAAACAGCTAGAGAGGATCATAATATCAATAAGCTTATAACTACCAAATAGGCTAGATGAACACTCCTGTTTGTAAGTGTTCTTATATTCTTATAAGACTCCAAAAATCAAACTCCCTTTTTGTCTCTTAAATTTACCATTATTGTCTCTATGATTTTTTTTGTGTTTTGTATTCTGCAGTGTTTTTTAAAAGATCATTATATGTAATGCAAAACTGGCAACAACCGTGTTTCTTTACAGATTCATTTGTATCATGAATTTGATTCATTTGTATTGTATTCATTTGTAAAAACATACTTCCATATTCCCAGATTCAAAGTGTAGTGTTATTCCTCCATCTATTGGTTGAGTGTTGTAATGACAAAGGAAAAAAAAAACTTCTGTCTGTGTCCTAGACTTACAAAATAAAAATCTCCTTTTATAAAAAAAAAAGTCCATATGCAGTGCCCTCCATAGGTACTGGGACAGTGAAGTCCTAATGACTATTTTTGGTGTAAACTCAAGCAATTCAGATTTGAGATGAAAAGATTAATGCGAGGCAAAAATATAGAATGTGTACTTGTATTTCTGGGAATTTTTGTAGCTCTTCTTGTGTTACTGGGACAAATGGCTGCCACATGTTTCTTATTGGTTGGATGTTTCCTGTTGCATTGATTGTGCAGACATAAAAGAGCTATGAATGTGTAGTGTTGGATTTAATCTTTGTCCTCCTTTTACTGTCTGTAGGTCTAGATGATGAAGACTAGAGTACTTCGGATTTGGCATTTGGCAACGACCACATCAGCTGAGCAAAACAACTACAGATAATGATAGAAAAATCAGATCTGTAAAGAAAAACAACTGTCACTAAAATCACCAACAACCTCTGTAGGGCAGGGGGTAGAGGTGTCACAATCTACTATTCACAGAAAACTGCAACAGCAGGATTATAAAGGCAAGATGTAAACCTCTCATCGGCACTGAAAATAGAAAGGCCAGATTGAAACTTGCTAAAAAGTGCAGAGAGGACCCAGTTGGATTATGAACAAAGTGCTATGAACAGATAAGACAAAGATAAACCTCTACCATAGTGAAGGCAAGGTGAAAGCGTGGAGAAAGGAAAGAAATGCAGATGATCCAAAGCATACTTCTTCATCTGTGAAACATGGTGGAGGCAGTGTCTTGGCCTGGGTCACCTACTGTATGCAACGGACTCACTCATCTTTATTGATGATCCATCTGGATGATATTATTAAAGACTCATCTTTATTGATGATGATATTGATGGCAATTATTAATGATTGTAGAAGCTGAATGACTTCAGAAGTGTACAGAAACATCTTGTGTGCAAGTATACCAAAAAATGCCTCCAGATTCTGGCACTTCATCATGCAGCAGGACAAGGACCCAAAACACTGCCAATGCAACCAAGGAGTTCATCAAGGGAAAATAGTGGAAAGTCTTAGACAGGGCAAGTCAATCTCTTGACTTTTATTTGATCCAGCACGCATTTCACTTTCTAAAAAGAAGATTGAATGAACAGTAACTGAAAAAAGCTGCAGTAAAGGCTTGGCAAAGCATCTCAAAATAACTAACCAAGAGTTTGGAGATATCAATGATTCACAGGCATGGTGCAGTTATTGCATGCAAACGATATGCGACCAAATACTAAGTATACAGTACTTATCTAAAATGCAGGGATGGAAAATAAAATGTGTTATTATTCTAAAATGTTAAAGCATAAATACTTAGAAATAAAAGACGACATTCTGTACTTTTGCCTCATTTACATATTTTCATCTAAAATCAGAATTGTTTGAATACACAACAAACAGGAATTTTGACTTCACTATTCCAATACTTTCGGAGGGCACTGTAAATGACAGAGCATAATAGAGGTACTAAGATTCTCTTTTGTGACTGCAGTGCATTCATCTTTTTTTCATCTGAACAACAGTAAAAATAAGCTTATGATTCATTGCTGTTAATCTTGGATTTACTGTAGGCAGACACTTCTTTCCTCCTTTCCTTGTGTAAAGATCTAAATTAATTTAGAAGAGGTTAATTTGTACCTTACGCAGTTTGAAACAATTAATCAATTCGTTATTCTTGCGAATAAGATTTTCATATTAGAAAACCCATCATAATGATACTACTTTTCAATCCCCTAAAAGTCCAACACTCATATGTGTAACTGTCAAAGGAGACAACTGGGCATTGACTGAAAATCATCAGATCACAACACATCTGTAACTAGCAAAATGTTAATTTTCAGAAGTGGTGTTTCTATCACTGATTTCTGAAATGCTCATCAAAATGAGCTCTGTGTGAAATGAAGAAAGTGTGCACAAAAAGTGACAGTTCTAGAAACACCTGCTCACCATGTAAGTCATCCACAATCCATTGTGGTACAGATTAACTGTTTAAGAATGCTCATCTGATATTTTGGATACCCTAACTAACAGCAGGGTCTACAATTAGAACTTTGCTTTTTAAATGATATGCAGTATTTTTTTAAGTAATAAGGAGTGAAGAATGTGAAAGCCAGGTTCTTTGAAATGAAGACAAAACCTGTCATCTGCACATGGTAAAACACATAAAAGTTTCAGTTAAGGCTGTCAAGGTCTTTATCACACATCCATATCGGCTAGTATCTGATACACTGGTAACCCCACTCATTCATTAGGCTTCCAGTGTTTGTTCATTCAGAGACTGTGAACAATGAGTGCTACTTGTCTGACAGCACCTTGTGTACAAACCTCTTTCTGTGGTAGTGGCCCAGCAGGTGTGCAGGAAATGCTTATTATCCAGCTTAGCTTGGTTGTATGTTTCTCTCTTTATAAGACGCATTCTGGGTGGCTCTATCAGATAAAGAGACGACAGGTGTTCTGCAGGGAATGCTTTTATGTGTGTCTGACTCTGCCTGAGCAGCTTCATCAAAGCAGGGGGTGCATTCTGTTTGTCCGTATGCTCTGAAAAGTGGGTCATGAAGAAAGCACATCTCCTGCCACCTGCAGGCTTGAGATCTGAGGTACCTGTACAACGCTTGGAGAATCTTTTCCGATGAAGGAGCAGTGCAATTATTGTACCAAACAGGAACAATAATTACATATTCAAGTACAGGTGGTGCTGATCATGATGGCTGTATAAATGTTGACTTTCTTGTATCCTCTTGGAGAATGCAAGAAACCATCTTGTTGCTATCAAAATGCTTAAACAATTTTTTTTATTTTAATCATCTCAATCTTGATTTTGGAGATAGTATCTAATGAGAGGGAAGTCAGATTTTAAGAAAATGAGCAGTAGTCTACTCTGAAATATTTTTCAATTTAGAAACCTGATTGCATTGTGCATACTGTAGCTGTGCGTTTTGCAAATGGAAGTGAGCAAAAAAATATCTTTATAATTTATAAATATATAATTTTCAAAAATATCTTTGAAAAAGACACATCTTAAAAAATAAAATCACCTCTTTGTCATCAACCACTGTACTTTATTATGCTTTGAAATGTTAGCTTTTTTCCATAATTTGTATAAGACCTGTTTGCTTGTTTACTTGAGGTTTGCTTGAGGTTGAGAGATATTGGCCCACATGTGTAAAACCACACACACAAACCTGCCTTTATTTAACTGCATTGCATTTAAAATGTTTTGTTTTCTAAGAAAACCCATAATGTTAAATAAATCATTGAAAATGCATAAGCCTTTTACTTGTTTGTTAATAAGATCAATTATGTCAAGCAGGAAAAATAGTTAGCATTAAATTTTTGCCTCTGTCTAATAGTAACATTTCTTTTACTGTAAATTTGGTATAAATTAGCATTATGTTTTGGATGTGGGTAGTAGAGGTAATTGTAGAGAAGGAAAGTGAAGTTTCAGGCACCAACTACCATTAGTAGTTTCTTGCATGCATCAACAAGGAAGAATCAACATGATGTCATAAAAAAATTAAAAAACAGCACCAATCTACTGTACATTTAACAAACTCTACAAAAGTTATGTGTAACTGAGTATCAGCATTAAATGCAATAGTACATGGAACTGTAGTGTTGTACTACATAATCTTGTACAACAGTACACCAGGGTAATTGTTGTAGAAATAGAAGCACATTTCTAAAAATATATCACCCATTACAGTGTGTTAGAAAGACAAACAGATAAGAAAACAAATACACCATTTTCTATGGGCTACAAACAAACTAGGAAGTATGAGAACACTGTGGCTTGTGTTATAATAAAGTTTTAGAAATAATGATACAGAAATATTTTTTACATTTTTAAAATGTGTATTTGATCTGTACTTTACTAAATTTTACTAGGTATAGTGAAGTCAATTATATTGATTATACAGTGCTGTAACACATTATAGGAGATGTACCAAAAGGGCTGAAAATATTCAGAACATAAAAGTATACAATTCTCAATAAAAATTTAAAGGTGTAATTCATTTAGATTCTGCATAGATATTCCAGAAGATTTGTATAAACTGAGATAAATGTATTGATTCACAACAAAAATTAGAACAAGTACAAATGAAAGGCGGCTATTCAAGCCATGTTGTTTTAGAGTAGACTGATTCAAAGATTTTATCATGCAGTCTTTCTTAAAAGCCAGGGTATTTGGTTTAACAATATGGCTGGATATCTCAGTACCTTGCAGACATTGCATAAAATATTACCTGAGACTGTTTATATACAGTACACAGTATATAACATGGTTTAACACAAATGCACTAAATTTTTTTTTGATGCAACATACAGTACATATTCAAGTAAGACAATTCTGCGCATTGGTGATACACGGCTAATACAGTTTGATTTCCATGAACCTTTTCCTGCTGAAATCTGCCTAATATTAGATGAAACTCTGGATATACAAACACAAATTACAAGCATTAATACTTGGAAATAGAAATAAAAACTTACAATACAATAAGTTTAAAGCTATATTTATTTAAAACTCCAATGAAGCTCATTATAACAGGTGTCTAGACTTCATTACAGAACAGCAGCAAAGTACAAGCTGTTTAAAAGCACATTCTTGACAACATTTTGCTTAGTTTAAGCAGGAATTATAACTCAAGTTCATTCTTATTATTGTATAGTTTCGTTTGGCATTGTTTCTGACCTAAAGATTTATTTACGATAGAAAATGGTCAACTGAGGCAATCCTGCAATTGCTAAACATAACAAAGTACAAGAATATGGTGAATTTTTAAAATAGTTTTCAAACATTTGAATTACTTCCAGAATTACTTGAATTACCTGCAAAAAAAGAACATAAATTCCATTTTTCTTTGGGTATTCAATGGGATTTCCAACATTAATTTTTTGCTCTTTGCTCACAGGTTCTATAAATTAATTTTCTTCTATTTAGACTTAAACTGGGATGGGTATTTTACATATTATATGAGGAAACGTGCATGTATAAAGCATATAAAAGCTCCCAAAACTACAGATAAAAAGACACACTGGATATAATATATTCCTTATCAATAGACACAATCAAGCAACATTGTGCAAAAGCTTTTTAACAAAGCAAAATTTAGTTTGATATTGATGGTCTAGTAAGCAGAGTAGTGCTAACTTGATGTTAGCCAAAATACTTCCTTCTAAATTAGAAAATTGTAATAGTATAGTATTTAAACTTCAGATTATTGACCGTGTGAAAAATAATGAATGAATATACAAAGTCTTATCAATTACAGTATGTAGTTTGAAGATAATTCAAAGCCCTGTCTGGAGTGTAGTAAAATCAAGGCAGATGTCTTGCTTCTATGACTCTCCACAGCATAACGTTTACAGTACATTCATTTTTTTTCTTATATCTGGAAACATTATCTTTGTCCTCCAATGTCGAAAAATAAAAGATTTGCAAAAAATATTGAAAAAGCTGAAGTACCACATGTACCAAGGAAAAGAATATTTGGAATATAACACAATCACATGCACAGTTCTCTTTATTTGCTCTCAACATTAGGAGTGGGACCATTAGAAGTGCTGTCTTCTGAATCTCCTTCACACACTTTCTCGGTACTAGAGGACTCTTTTGGCACTTCCTGTGATGAGGAGGGCTTTTTCTTTCCTTCAGTGCTGGCAGAGGTAGAATCTGCAGGTTCACTTTCTTTGGAGCTAGCTTTTTGAGGTTTTTCAGTGGACTGGGGCACTGGCTCCTCTACACTCTCCTTTTTGCCTTCATTGACAACCTCCACAGAGTCTGCTGCTCTAGCTGGCTTCACCTCTCCATTCTGGGCTGGGTAGGCACTCGCTATGGCATCATACAGGAACTGGTAATGCTCCTGTTCAGGAAAGCAAGCATTAGGATTCAGCGTACAAGAAATTACTCTTGCATATTTTTCACTGCTCTCAGATACAATCTGCAATTTGGCAAATGTTTTACTGTATGAAGCCAAAATGTTTGCAGTTTCACAGGGGGGAATAAACAGTGCAGGTTCAAAACAATAGCACAGTTTTTTCTCAAAAAAGGAAGGACGTTGTTTTTTCTTCTTTTACTTACAAAGGATGAAAGCATCCCTTGTCTTTCTCTGCGTAGATTCTTTACCACCTGGAAAACATCGACCAGATTTTCTGTATCCGCACTGTCCAAGATATTCCACAGTGCACAGAACGTCCCGGTCCGTGTTGACCCATCGCTAGAATAAACAGAATATTAAGCATATGATTAGGTTGGTTTAAATAAGTAAATAAAGTTTAAAATTGTGCAAAAGAACCCTTTGGTCTTTAGAGTTAAAAACAAAAGAACCACCTCAGTTCTTCATGTGTGGATCACATTGCTTTGTAGTGGATAGGTACTGTAGATGCAATGTACTGATTTTCGATCAAATGCAGAAGTAGCAGGCACATGCCAATAATTATTTTTAACATGCTTGGTTTGATGGATTGGTGCCTGTCAATGTGAACAAGACAGTGGGGATTCTCCCAGTGGTGAAACAAGAGGTTGCTACAGTAAATTGGCAGTGGTATACAGTAGGAGAGAGCAGAGGGGTGCTATTGCAAAGAATACAAGGGAATACTGTAGGTGTCCAGTGGCCTAAAGTCATACTCGAGCCAGATGATTGACAGGAATTGAGACTTATCACCTTTAAAACATTCATTATGAATTCCACTAAAAAATCAAAACTGATCTAACATGTTGCTTTTTGAGTACTTCAGACTCATATGCTTAAACACGTTTAAACAAGTGCTCTCTGTGTGGTATTCCATCCATTTTTCTGTTTTCTAATTGGCTTAATTAAATTCAGGGTCACTGGGTGGCAGAGCCTATTCTGGCAACTAGCATGCGCAAGATGGGATATTCAAGATGGGACGCCAGTCCATCTCTGGGTAGGCAGACACAAACTCAGACACATAGACCAGGGCCAGCTTTCCCAGAAGCCAATTCAATAGGATAACTTGCTTAATTAATGGAGGTGAAACAGTGTTGATGACATACCATGTGAACTGCCTACACATACTGTGCTGCCCGTATGCTGAACATTCACTGGTACAGTGGTTCGTGTCATAAATGGCATTCACTTTAACATCTGCACAACAGTTTTGTGTCCTCTGTTTCACGCATTCCCTTTATTCAAGGTAGCTGTCACACAAATTCAATTGTCACTCACTTGCAGTGAACAACAACAGGCACACTCTTGTTGTCCTTGCCAGATTTCTGGGGAATCTTTTGCTTTATGCTCCTTATCAAAGCAATAAGATCCTGTGGATTCTCTGGAAGGTCTCGCCCACTCCACTTCTGGAAATGATACTGGTAGATCCTACGGCTCTCTTTCCTCTAAAAAGGCAGAAAATTTAAAAACAAAACACATACAAATCGGTGATAAGATTGCACCTTTTCAGTTCTGTGTATTGGTCTTATTCATTATAGAAATTATGAGCAACGTCTGGGACAATAACAAAAGAATTAACACTTCACATCTCAGAACATTACAATAAACAATTAGTAACCTTTTGTCTTTGTCTTCCTTTTGAATAGGAAGGATGCTCATCCTTTGTAATAAAGGGAGTCTAACTACTTTAGTCTAAAATTGTCAAGTCTAAAATTAGACTTTACAAAAAGTTATGCAGATATAACTGGATTTTTTGGGGTGGTTAACTGATTTTAAGGTCATACAAACTCATATTAAAAGGTTTTAGTTCTCCTGAAAACAGTTAATGTTTTTTTTCCTATATTTCTCATCTTCTCCTCCCTTCTTAATTGTAACCACTATATCAGAATTACCTTTGTGTGTTTTATTTCAATAGATCGGATGATGTATTCCGGACAGACGTTGTAGTCCACCACTCCAACTTCGATTTCATCATATAACTTCTTTTCATCATGCCAGTATTTCGAACAGAAATCCTAAAAAATGTATCCGAAAAAAACAAGATCACATAAGAGACATGCATGTGTTCACAACATAACACAGTATATTTGTCCTGCTAAATATATTGAGATCCTTTAAACTAGTTTCCATTTTAGTAGGGACAAACCTTATCTCCCTCTGTACATTCTGTGAGCATCACAATAATCTTGATTTTTTTCTGGAAGACCATCTGCCAAAAGTCTGCAATGGTATCTGGAAGAGGTCCCTGGGCAGCAATCAGGCTTCTCTGACCCCAGTAGCCCTGAAAAAGTATAACAACAGAGTATTTTTAAAGTATGAGACAACTATAAGCTTTCCCACTAATAATTATTTATGTTCTTGTCCTAATCTAACTTGTGCTCTGTCCTATAGGGAAGATGTGAAAAGGTGTTGGAAAGAATAATCTGAACTCAGCCATCCTGGGATTTGTCATAGAAATTAGGGCCTTCAGTGTTTAAATGTGCAATGTGGAGTTTTGACATACAGTACATTTTCAGAAGAATGTCAAATTCTAATCTTCTGATTTCTAGTCTCCTAAATATATTGCATTCTAATTACACCTTTTGCAAATATTTTGGTGCACCCTTCCCTTCTCCCAATCTTCACTCTTGCAGCAGCTACCTGGCCTGGCTCATTTCTAGTGATGTCATGTTGTGGACCCATCAGCCTGGGACTTTCTCTCAAGTAGTTGTTCCCTCAGTCAGGCGAATTCCACCAAATAAACTTTGAATGAGTTTTGTCTCTGCGTCATATTAGTTAGGATTTGACTGAACTATTGTCGAAATTTTGAAAATGTATGCCTACCACACTCAGTCAAAGGTGCTTTCTGGCTCACAATGTAAAATTGTGTTCTAAAATGAATTTTGATCATTTTCAATTAATGACTTCCCCATCTGAGAGAAAGGTCACAATTAACCATATATATTATAACTATTTTCCATGCAATACATAATATTTAACATCTGAAATACAAAATACTCTTTCAAAGGAAGTCCCTGATGCATAATTCATTCCTTAGTTTCTTTAAGTAACTTTGGCTAATTCTAATGAATAAATATTTGAGATGCAATAAATTTATTTTAAATCTATACAGGCTTTCGCTCAAAGGTCTTGAGTCTCACTGCCTGCAGATTCACCCAGCTCAGCAATAAAGCAGGAGGGAGCTCAGGACTAAAAGCAAGGACCTGAAGACAGGAGAGGAGGGAAATTCTAGATTAAAATTTGTTTTAATTTTAATTATTATTAGGGGTAAAAATTGCAGTAGTGAAAAACCCTGCTTGTGAGTAAATGACTGGGAAACCAAGTTAGCCATATACCCATTCCCCCTAGGTGTTATTATATTGCTTATTAAATGACAGATTGACTACAGACATCAAAATCTATTTTCTGGGTTTGTTTTTACAATATAACATGGACTCCAACACATACATCCATAAAAGATGCATTGATGTATTTGGTCGAATCTTCATCATCATCATCAGATGAGTCCTCAGTGTCCTCCTCGTGTTCACTCTCCTGGCTTTTTTCATCTTCCAACTTAATAGGCACTCTGTTGTAGTCATCTGCAGCATAGCATTATAGTAGAAGATACATTTGTAAGCATGAAAACCATTAAACCCTTAGCATTATAGGCATAAACAGTAGTATACTGTGCAGATTAAAGAATCATTACAAATTCTGTATAGCTAGTCTATGATTACAAAATTCTTTTTGGGATCGTTCTCTTAATAGTGCTTTTTAAGTTGTTTGTAATTGAGAAAATTACACTTTCTATATGTAACATTAGTTTTTTAATGTTGCTCTAAGTTGGACTATCATATCAAGAAATGTGTTTTGCTCCTACTGTGGGTTAAAGAAGTTAGAAAGATAAAGGTTTATACCTAGGGCCTTTCATATCTTACACATGTACTTTGACTAATGTCAAATATAAATTGGATACATGTGAGATAACCAGCACATTATAATTGTGATACTGTACTCACATGGGATAGCATTGGAATATCTGTTCTTCTTCTTATTCTCTTCATTTGTGCCTGTATTTTGGACCCTCCAGTTTCTATATTTCGGAAGTCTCTGAAATAGGATAATACAGCTTTGATTAATGTAACCGACCTTTGAATCAAAATGAGCATTTCCTTTTCTGTCAAAATGAGCAAAAGCCATTAGCAACCACTGATTGTTCATGTTCACTGATATAATCATTTTGCACATCCATATTTTTGGCAATGCATAGGAGTACGTATTTGGAATGGAGTCTTTTGAGAATTCTTCAGAAACTAGAGAAAATCACCTGGAATTCACCCTCCAGCAGAGTCGGATCTGAGGGTGGGTCTTTCTTCTTCAAGTTGTTCAGTGTGGAGTGCAGCTCAGAAAGGGGGATTTCCGTCTCTCCAAATTGGTTGTGTTCAATCAGGGCCTGGTGGATTAGTATGTACTGAGCCTGTGAAGAAATACGGAAATGGTTGTATCAACTGTATCCACTGAATATTGCGACAAGAACAAGGGTGAAGCTTGATTTTGAGCAATGCACTTTTTTTACCACTACTTTGATATGTGTATTCCTCCAAGTAACTCTTGTATCAGGGTGGAGCGGTGGCTCTGTGCCTGCGGCTGGAAGGTTGCCGGTTCAAATCCTGCAGCTGGCAGAGGAATCCTGTTCTGTTGGGCTCCTGAGCAAGGCCCTTAACCCCAGGGGTGCTGTACATTGGCTGACCCTGTGCTCTGACCCCAGGCTCTCTCCCCCTGTCTGTGTGTCTGTGTGTCTCATGGAGAGTAAGCTGGGGTAATTGAAAAGATGAATTCCTAATGCAAGAAATTGTTTAGGGCTAATAAACTGATGTTATGTTATTTAGGGGGAGACATGGAGTGAGATAAGCTGTTGCATGCAATTGTATTTCAAAATCACATTTTGAAATTCTCACCTCGACTTGCACCATGAGGCAGCGCTGACGCCGCAGTTTGACCACATATCCATAAATGTCCACTCTCCCCTCAGCCTCTAAGCCTTCCATCATAGCATCAATGCCAATATATGTGCCAGTACGGCCAACACCAGCACTGCAGAGAAAGACGAGGTTACCAATGACCAAAAGATCAAATTTCAATAAAAAATAATGGGTTTCTACCAATACAAAATCTTTCTTTTTTGTTTTTATTGCAGTTCTAAAAGACTTCTTCTCAAGGAAAGGCGATATGCATATTGGGACTCAGTCCAAGCAGAATTTCAAACAATGCACAGGCCTTCTAGAAGTGGTCAGTGCATTAATTTTTCGCATTGTTGGTAACGCTGTAAAATGTTTTTTCATACCTGCAGTGGACGACTATGGGACCACTGAAAAAATTGTTGAAAGCATTAACACGTCTCCGCAGCTTCAGCAGAAGATGGGGGTCACCAGGTACCCCATGGTCAGGCCAGCTAGTAAACTGGATGTGAGTCACTGCTCTCTCTGAGTTCTTCTCCTTCCTCTGTAAACATATCAGGAGGTCTTGTAATAATCTGTTTTTAATAGTTCTACATGTTTCCATGAAGCACATGCATTGTGCCAATTAGTTTGGGTTGTATCAGTTCAATTCATGTGAAAACAATTAGAATTGTATATTCATTCCTAGGTTGATTCTTTGTGTCATAGATCTAACATTTGTTAAGAAATGTATGCAGGTCAGCTTTAAATAGAAATGTAACTGATTTCATAATCACTTAATTCCAAAGTAATTGTTATGGTCCAGTAATTCAAATGTTTATATTGCCATTGAGATCATAGACCCTCACATTCAAAAGTGCATTGTTTAACCGAATGCAAATTAGGATAGGACAGCAACTCTTAAAGCAACACTACTATCTGGAAATTCTTGTGAAAGTTAAAATAATAATAGGAGATTTATTACATTTTAAAATAAGAATCCTCAAGTAAACTCAAATAAAGTGAAATTCACACAATGGTTAAGAGAACATAATATCACATACATGATACTGACATTCTAAGAAAGAACCAAACTCACGTTTGTAACATTCAGGTTTCGAATAATGTAATCTGGGCACTGGTTTTCTCCGTTAATCTTCACTGCAAAATCCCCGAAGATCTCAGCTTCCCTGTCCATTGATGGCCAATACTGAGCACATTTGTTCTAGATAAAGACAACATACAGTATGACTTCATTAGGCTGTGTATATTTACTTTTGGTACCTTATTTCTTTTAATACTGTGTTCATATAAAGCTTATATTGATTAGTATATATCAATATATATATGATACTGATATCATACTGATAAGTATACTGTATATTAGCGTACCTAAACATATACTATTTATAAATAGTCTGATAACAACAAAGTGTTAGTCCCTCCAACACAATGGTCACATTTTGTAAGTATGTGTGTTTTATTTGTTTTCCTTATAAACTATTTTTTTGTTTTACTTTTTGTTTTTTATCACCCAGGCCATTTACAGACATGATCTGGGTCACACTTGGTAATTGAAGTATCTATCAATGAAGTAAATAAAACAACAGATTAGTAAAAGATAACTACAAAAATAAACCTTAAAATAAAATAATGTTCAGGATATGGACAATGTGTTTTCTTATTAATTTATTGATTTGGTTTCCTTAAAAATACAGTAGTTATTTTTTTTCTAATCATGTCTAACATTGAACTAACCTAAGCATAAGTTTCAGAGGTTCAATGCATTAAAGAACAATGTTCTTACACTAAACATGGTTATATTAAGGGTATTAAAGTGTTTTAAAGGCACATAGACAAATACAACAAACAAAGATAAGGAATCTATCTTTGAGGGATAAGGCATAATGCCTGTAAAGTATTCTGATATAAGGCATTTTTCTGTGGGAGCTGGTCCTGTGATTGGAATAGAGAATCATGGATCTTGTGCACAATCCAGGGAAATAGCGAGTCTGCTATTCTGGATGACACACAAATCAATAATAATAATAATAATAATAATAATAATAATAATAATAATAATAATAATGAGGGCACCCCACACCATG